CCCCGTGCGGAACACGCTGGTGCCTCGCGCTCTCCCAGGCCCGCACAGAGGTGGGGAGCCGCCCCGCCTCCTTTGGTCGTACAGGGGGCACCGAGTCCCGCCTCACCCGCACAGCAGAGTTGAATTTGTAAATGTTCCAGCTGCCCCTTGTGTAAGGGTGGCAATGCCCTCTGTGCGAGAGCAGGAGTCTTACGGCATTTGGCGTTTGCCTTAAAGTCCCAGCTTCTACGATCATGTAGCTACATGAGATTTAACTTTCGTTTAAAAAAAAAGTTTTTTAGCCCTCATGGCAGAGAATAGCTGGGCCACCAATCACACAAAAGAGACACACCTTGTATTTATTTAAAATAAGTCTCACGCTATTTAAATCAATTTCATTATTTTGGGAGCCTGACATGTTTTTGAATCGTAGAATGGGTGACCCTGCTATTGATACTACATCTTCTTTTGAGGGAAAAATGTTCAGGTACAGCGACACTGATGCATGGACTGAAGAGTGTGTGGAGGATCACAAAGGGCAATGATAAATTACAGCAAATTGAGTTAGAGCAGGTCTAATGATATGGCACTGGATTCCACTTTTGGTCTGGTCATGTTTACTGTATTCACTAACAAGCTGTTAGAGGAAGGAAGCAGTATGCTTCAATAATTATAGCTGCAGCTGATATGAAAGTACAAAATGCCACTAACACCTGTAAAGATGGAGCAACAGCATAAAAGGGAGAGAGATTAGAAATGTGGTCAGGTAATAAAAATGGATATAGAATCATACCAGTAATCTCAAACACACTCAAGAGAAAGCATTTACTGCTTTCTTAGGGAAAACGGCAAATTAGATGAGTTTACAGTGAAATAAAGCAGCAAATAGAATCAGTACAATTGTAGGCTGTTTATGTGCAAGTGTTACAAGGATAGGACTAATCTGAGAAAATTGAAGAGACAATGAGCTCTGATAAGTGGGAAGTTTTGTGTCTGCATGATGATATTGTAACTATCACTATGACTATTTAAAAAGTCTCAGCTCATGAAAGCAGGTAGGGTAAAACTCAAGATCTTTCTGATCCAAGACTACAGACTCCTATGATTGAAGCTAAAAGGGAATTCCTTTTAACTATTAGTAGTATCTGTCCTATTTACATACAAATGAGCAATTCTAATTTTACCCATTGGCGCACAGTAGCACCTCTCTCGATCTAAGGTTTTTTTATAATGTCCATCACCATAATATCTAAGCACGTCCTAAGTATGTTTAACCCTCATAGTGAAGTTCTTAATGGACTTTTCTACATTGCTCCCTTCCATCATAAAGGAGAAAATGCCTGAGGAATTTGCATTAAACATACACACTAATGCCATTTTGTTACATTACTTTATTCCTCAACAAGTACTATACAGGATCTCTTTAAAGAAAAAAGAAACTTGCTCTTAATTCAGACTGACCATGTTTGATGAAACTGACCATTCAAATGACTGTGTACAGTGGTGTTGGAGCTCTGTTGGTCCCAGGATATTAGAGAGACAAGGTGAGTAAAGTAATACCTTTTATTGGACCAACTTTTGTTGGTGAGAGAGACCAGATTTTGAGTTTACACAGAGCTCTTCTCCAGGTCTGGGAAAACCTTGTCTCTCTAATTCAAATTACTGAACTGAAACTGTTTGCCTTGAAAATAGCGATCTCACATAGGCCTCACATACCCTCTTTATCTTTATGACAGGTTTTATATTGATATCTGCTGTAGGTGGTTTGACTAGGCAGATGGTGTCTGTTGTGATATAATGTGTAACAGATCTAGCAACCATCATTCATAGTTTTCAAGGCTAGAAAGGACTATTGTGAGCATCCATCTGACCTCCTGTGTAGCACAGACCATAGAACTTCCCCAAAATAATTCCTAGAGCAGATCTTTTAGTAAAACATCTAGTCCTGGATTTTAAAATTGCCAGTAAAACTGGCACACCCCAGAAGACCCTTTGAAGATTGTGGGGGGGTTGGGGGGAGGAAGGCATAGTGGTATGTTCTATGTGTACCCACAGTATCTAGATAGAGAAACAGCCACACAGCTAAATTCAGACAGTGCTCAAAAGGGAAAAGTAACTTGTGGAGGAAGACTATGAAGCCCCCATCATATTGCCTACTGGTTTAGGTCATTTAAATGACTTTGTTCTAAATCAGGTATCCTTCCCCTTACTTTCAAAGTATCATTCTTGTTTCTCTTGTGCTTAGAAACAGGCATTCCTCATGACAACATTAAGTGATTCAAGAAGCCTTAGACCCAATTTCATGACTGGATATTTTTTTAAAAGATATGCTATAGCTCAGCCAGTAATTACCCATTTGTACGAATTGCTGGGCAAAATTCTATGGCTGGTATTATTCAGATCAGACTAGATAATCACAGTGGTCCCTCCTGACCTTAACATCTATGATTCTCCACTTCCTTGCACTCTTGTATCATCACTAACACTTGTTCAAATTTTTAACAACTCAGACTGATAGCGTTTTATACTCACTTTGCATGATGTACCTGACAACCCAAAGGTTCAAGGCAATGGAGAATCAGGACCTCTCCTGGTAAATAGAACCATGGCACAGATCCCTATTATTTAAGTTTTTTGTAACTATTGAGAAGCTAACATTCATGAACAAAGAACTTTGTAAGTTAGCAGTGTTTCTCAACCTTTTTGATACAAGGAACCTTGCTGCCTTCCTAAACTGTGTCAGGGAGATTTCAGGGAGTGGCGCTGGTCTATGGACCAGTAGTTGAAAAACACTGAGTTAGAGGACACCCACCTTTTGAGATCCAGCATCTCAAGAACTCCATGGGCTGGAAACACTTTGGCAGAGACGTATACATGTTTGTAGGAGCAGTAAACTTCCTCAAGCACTAGCCCTGGAGCATTAAGCAGAAATCTATTTCTCTTCGTAGTGTTCCTTTGAAAGGAGTTGTGCATAGGGTCAGATGGGACACCTGTAATAGTAAACAATATGTTGAAGAAGCAGCCCACTATCAAAGCCATTTTAAACACCCCCTTAGGAAAAAACAAAACTCTTATTTCTGAGAATAAAATTTGTACATAGCATCATGTTTATGTTTCGCACATTATTGAGAATAAATGTACATTCTCTGTGTAAAACAGTTTCGGTCTAAGCTGAGTCCAAAAAGATAAAATTTCATGGAATAGGACACAGGCAACAGGGAATTGGGGGCAAGAGAGGAGAAATAAATTCCTGTTACAACTGCATCATCAAATGATAAAAAATGGGTTAGATTCTCCCTTAAATTACACCCCTACAACCTCATTGACTTCAATAAAAGTGCATAGATGCACATGAGGATAGAACTGGTCCTGTACTTTTAATAGCTAGTTAAAGGAATGCCTTTCTTTGAAGTTGCAAAAGTGGGTCTCAGAGTAAAGAAGCAACAGACACTCCTATCTCCTTCATTACAGAAAAAAGGCTGTTATAATGTCTAACCCAGCCTCCTGAAAAAGCTTTTAGAATACACTACTTGATATAAACCTCCCCCAGTAGCTTTTATCCTCTCAATGAAAAATTATCTCCAGATGGAACCTCATTTTTTTCATTGTAGAAGAGCACCTGTTTAGGGGGAGGAATTAACCCCTTCACTTTCCCCATAGAGCTGAGTCTGCACACCTCATCATACTACCAATTTATCATATCAGTGGCAGGATTCAGACACTTGAATTCAATGGGGAATTTAAAAATATCTGCAGCTATATGTGCAATTTTGGGGAGGGAACATCAGATTTTCACCTTTTAAAATGACATGAGGCAGAATGGTGAAAAAGAGAAAACCGTGACAAGTCAGCTGAGCAGCAGTTTCACTACTTTTGTCCCTCCATCACTACAAGGTCATAGGTCAACAAGAGGGGGAAAGAATAGATCCAACCCTCAATCCTGGACAAGAAGATGAGGGGATTGGAATTTAAACCCAGAGTCTGTCGAGAGAAGTGATCTGACTCTCTGATGATGCAATAGGAGGAAGTAGTATTAGAGTTGGAAGAGGAGCCTGCTGTTAGATACAGGTGCACAAAGCCTGTGGGGAAACTGCAGGGACTCTGAGGTGGGGCTTGTGCCCTGATTGGGACTATATGGAAAGAAGCTTTTTCAGCATCAAGATGACAGTGTAGAGCAGTGGTTCTCAAAGCCAGTCTGCCGCTTGTTCAGGGAAAGCCCCTGGCAGGCCGGGCCAGTTTGTTTACCTGCCACATCCGCAGGTTCGGCCGATTGCAGCTCCCACTGGCCGCGGTTTGCCGCTCCAGGCCAACGTGGGCTGCGGGAAGTGGTGCAGGCCGAGGGATGTGCTGGCCGCCCTTTCCTCAGCCCCCATTGGCCTGGAGCAGCGAACCGCGGCCAGTGGGAGCCGTGATCGGCCGAACCCATGGACGCAGCCAGTAAACAAACTGGCCCGGCCTGCCAGGGGCTTTCCCTGACAAGCGGCGGACTGGCTTTGAGAACCACTGGTGTAGAGAGTTCCAATGATCCAACAGACTATGAAACTGAATCTTGCCGAGTGGAACCTGTAGGTGATACCTAATTTTTCTCAAAATAATTTTCCTCAACTAGCTGCAACACACTGGACAGTAGGCCCGAGAAGCCCTAGCTCTCCTGTGGACTGACCCTAACTTAGTGTTTAGGGGAATTTAGGGCTTTCCTTTCTGTCAGCGGTAGTAAATCATCCTTTTGTTTGAGGTATGTGCTAGACTGCTTATTGGGAATGTACCAGATGACTAAGCCTAGTAGCTGAAGAGCCTTCAGCTCTTGCCTATGAGCTTGGGTACACCTATCATACTATCAACTACTGTTTTTGAAAAAATTCACTATACTACAGTATTCCAACAACTCTATCAGATGAGGATATTATCGAGTTGCAGCTTATATGTAAGTTCCAATATCTGGTAATTTTATGTTAAAAAATTGCCCATAGAATTTTGAATGAGTAGTTTACATATTATAACTAATCATCCCTTTGGCTCCTCTGTTTTTCATCTGATTAAAAAGTAATCTGGATCACAATATATACTGGAAACTGGAAGTTCAGGGATGATATTCCATGATGTCACCTAGCAACCTAACGTGCCTCCAAATAAACAGCCTTGTAAGTTTCATAGTAGCCCAAACTTGTATTTTTATTTTTTTTTAAGTTTTACATTTCACAGGCTTTACTTATTCTTGGCAGTTACCATGGCTCTTTGGCTGGGATGATGATTAGAAGCTAGAACACTAAAATCTTTCCATGGATCAGATGGATGGATGCAGGGCCAAAGCTCTTTTGTCAAAGACTGAATTTGTCTCATCATCCAACTCCTGGGAAACCTGGTGTTATTTGTAGGTCTTCCACATGGCCAGACATCCTCTTGTCCCTTTTTAAATGAACAATATTTAAAATATGAAACTTGGCCTTTGGACTAAAGTTCAAATGCAACAAGTTTAGCATCCGATACAAACTCTATCAGGGACTACAATCTGTATTCATAGAAGGGACTTGAAAATTTGGGGTTGGGAACAGGTGTAGGGTGAAGTAGTACTGATACTCTACACAAACTCCACTCATGATCCCAAACTCCACCCACCATCCCAGAATATTTAGGTGTTTTATCCTAAATGTTCATCAGTGAAATAGTTAACAGCATTGACATTTAAATTGTCAGCAGCAGAGTCTGGTATTAACAGCCCATTGAGAGGAATTGGGATAGTCCACTCCCCTTGTCAAACTATTGTTACATTCTCTCTCCTTGAAGACAAAGCTACATCACTGCACGTGTAACGGTTAAGCTTGGCAAGTGTCTTGAAATATTCCTCCTCTTTTGTCTATTTCATGGCATTCTTACCAAACACATTTATATTTTTCTAAAAATTTATGTATTGTTAGACAAAGCCAAGACTGGGAAAATCTTAAAATACTCTCCTAAGTGCTTTTTTGTTTTTATTCATTTTGGAATTTTTATAAAGCAAATGAAAAACATATGAAAGAATATGGAGCAAAATAAGGGACTCCTAGGACTGCTTCAGCAGCCAATAAAATTTTTGGCTGAAGATTTTTTTTTCTAAATGATCAATTGAGTCCCCTGTTGGAAACTACATTGATAGTAGGCTTAAATTAACACACTTTTAGTGCAGTGCTGATGGTATCTGTATTGATTCCTCAACTCAAGCTCTCTACCTCATGCACATTTCTAACAGTGGTTCTCAGCTATTTCATAATGGGGCCAATTTCTAAAATCAATATCTCTTGTGAATTTTCCCTTTCCAATCTCCAGTCCTGAACCTTTTCCTTCCTTGGGGCAACTCTAGTGTGGGGTGACCCTGGGTAGTAAAGGCTATATTTGTCAGTCTGAGAACCAAAGAGACCTGCAAGTTTCTGTCTGTGTCCAATGGCCTCAATAAATAATCCACTTTATATTCATTACAAGACAAATCTGTCTCTTCTCTTCCATGAAAAAGACCATCTATCAGCCTCAGCAAAGGACTGAGGAATGTTATTATTTTGAATATCATAGCATCTAGGAGCCCTAGGTGGTGGTGTTGTCCACAGTGATCAAAAACAGTGGTAGTGGGGAGTGCCTGGTGGAGAGAAGATTAAGAACTCTATTTTAGCCATGTTGTGCTTGAGCTGATGGCTAGACATCCATGGGGAGATGTTCGAGAGAGAGCTTGAGATTGTAGTTTGGACAGAAGGAGGCAGCTATGGAGTGGAGAGGTAGAGTGGTGAGTCACCAGCATAGAGACAGTAGTTGAATTTTTGATTGTCAATTAGATTATCCAAAGATAAGGTGTAAAAAGAGACAAGAAGGGGTCCATGGACACAGCCCCGTGAAACCTTCACAGAAAGTTAGAGGAGTATGAGGAGGATCGTCTGAAGGACATGCTGGAGGAGTGATTAAAGAGATGTGAGAATCAGGAGAGAATAGAACCATGGAAGCCAAGGGAGGACAAGATTTCAGGAAGAAGATCATGATCAATGGTGTCGAAGCAGTGGACAGGTCAAGGAGGGTGAGGTTGGAGTACTAGTTCTGAACTTTGTCTAAGAAAAGGTCATTAGCAACGTAGCTTGTAGATAAGGAATAGGCATAAGTTAAGGCAGTAATGCAATGAGCCTACAATCTTCAGCATCTGTAAAACAATAGCTTAGCTAAACTAATCAAGGCAGAAGACCCCAAAAACCTTAGCATAAGTAGTCAATCAGGAGTAACTCTAGATCATAAGGTATCACAAAAGAGAATGTTGTAACTCTGACAGGACACCACAAGATGCTAGATTATACCAGTTTGGGATATTTTAAAGTTAGGAACATCTGTAGATGTCAGACCACAAGAGTATCACGGTAACTGAACTGATTGACATATATGCTAATAAGCTGGAGGTAAATGGACTGGTAACCTCTGGGAGAAGGGCACCCCAATATTAGTAGGGTTAGGAAATACAAATAAGTAAAAGGGGATGAAACTCCCTATTGAATATGCAATAAGTATAGTGGTGTCACTATAACACATTATAAAAGCTGTATCCCTGCCTGTTTGCTTTGGAAGTTGTAGCTGATGGGAGATGCCAGGATGATGACCACTGATGATGGTGATGAGTAAGATGCTGATGATGGAGAATATAATGACTAACACTTCAGATTGTTCTGTAAGGGATATTGCAAGTATACAGATGCTCAGGTGCACATTTTGAATTATCTTTATCTGCCTTGATCGCTTGTAGTGTTTATAACTTTATCTGTATTAATAAAACTATTACAAGCATAGAAGGTTTTTCCTAAGTATGAATGTTGCAATCATGCAGATTGGGGTTCCCAATTTAACCGTACTTGTAATAATCCTGGGCCTGATCTTGGGACAAGAACCTATGAAAACTCAGAGCATTAACTGGAAATTCTTAAGTAATCAATATAATTAATACACAATTCCTAGATCAGGCAGCAGAGATTTTAGCGGGAGTGGTTTCAGTGGAGTGAAAGGCGTGGAATCCAGCTTGGAGAGGGTCTAAGATGGAATTGGAGGAGAATTCCAGACAGCGGTTGTAGACAGTGCCTTCAACGAGCTTAGAGATGAAAGGGAGAAGGCCTGGTTGCTGGAGAAGCAAAAGATGGGAGAGACTAGAGCAAATTTGTAATGTAAGGGGAAAGAGCCAGAGGAGAGTGAGAGGGTAAGGAAAAGAGCAAGGGAGAGAACTGAGAGTGGGTGCAAGAATGTTCAGGAGATGGGATGGGGTTAGTAGGGCAAGTGGAAGGGTTAAAGGAGAGCAGGTAAGAAACTTCTGTATCTGTGACAGTGGAGGAGGAGGAGAGAGTTGTAGGAGGGGAAGGGAAGGCACGGCACACTGAGGGGCAGAGGAAGGTCACGTATTTTGCCAATTTTCTTTTGGAAGAACTTGGTGGCATGCTGTATTGGGAAAAACATGGAGGGAGGAGGAGAGGAGAGTTTGAGTCAAAGGCAGCTGGGATCGTGGGCATGGGATGCAGTTAAGTTGCAGAAGCAGAGTTGTTGCACTAAGAAGATGGCAGAACTGAAGGAGCAGATATTCAGAAATGTCCCTGGTATAAGAGCACAATTGAAACTAAGGAGAGAGATAGCACCCACTTAAAATTTGACCTGGAGCATCAGTTGCAATGAAAACATGTGTATACATGTATGTTTGTTGGGGCCATTGCATGGATAAAATAATAGCTCCTTGTACATCTCTAGTACCTTCCATCCTGGATGTCAAACATTAACAAATTAGCCTCACAGAGGGTGCTTACCCCTATTGCAAAGAGGAGGAAACAGAGGTATTTTGGGGGGTAACTGGGTTTTCTTAAGCCAGAGTGTGGCTTTAATTTATTTCATAATTCTGTGAGTGTGTATGACACATACATTCTGTTACTGAAGCACACAGAGTCTTAATGGCTCCTGAAAATAATTCTTACCATACTCTACAAGAGACCTAGGGGAACATCAGCGTAAAAGAAATGTGCAAATTAGAAACGTTCTCAGACTCTTTGAAACAAAATAGAAGACTTTTTATTAAGGCATTTTCCAACAGTGTTTATGCAATCTAATTTTTTTTACGAGGCTACATATTTTAAAATAATGAGGAAAAAAGAATTAGGTTTTCAGATTTGTTTATTTGGCAGCTTCCAACTTTTCATTTAAAATAAACCAACTAATGTAGCTCATTCAGGCCCCAAGTGCCAAGTATATTCAGTGCTGAGTGATTTTGTCATATGCTAGTACTGTGTGCCCAGTCTGGTAGTTGAGAAATCCTATAAATGGGTAACAGTTGATAGTCAGCGGCTGCAGACATCATTTGCTTGCCACTGTGCAGAGGCAGACTTTCTGTCTGATTCACCAGTAGTCAAAAAGACTTCTTTAAAAAAAAAAAAAAGTTCATTTATTTACCTAACTTTAACTTTGCATCTCTATCCTGACCACTAACTTTCCTTCAGAAAGACAGCAGGAGGATGCCCAACTGCACACCCAGTCACTGCTAAGAACTCTTACTCCTGGGGGCATTCTTCACCCCAAAATTAAAAATTCTATGACAAAAAAATAAAAATTCTGCGCACAATATTTTAAAATTCTGCAAATTTTATTTGTCAAAATAACAGCACTACATAATCACGCCAGTTTCAATTATTTTGGTAATTTATTTCAAAATACCTGTCAGCAAGTATGTCTGTAACAATACAGACACACACAAAAATTCCCCCAGGAGAGTTAAAGAAACCCCTATGACAACCCAGTTCCTGTTTCTTTGCCCCCTTATCACCCCCAGAGCCCAGCTGTGGGGCTCCCCCCCAGCCAATACACCCCAACCCCCTCGTCCCCAGAGCCCCACGGTGGGGCTTCCCAACCCAGATATCCACACCCTCCCCCTGCCCCCGAGCCCAGCTGCAGGTCCCCCCCTTGCCAAGACACCTGTCCCCCTCGTCCCCCAGAGATCCAGAGGGAGAAACAGCCTGATGCTTGGTCCCAGGCTTGCATAGAGTTTCCTGCATGCCGCCTTCTCCTTCTCTCAGGGCATGCTGGGAACTACAGCTGCCAGGAACCCTCTAGCTCCCTCTCCTTCCCCCCAGAAGTGTCTTCTATGTGCAAGTTGGCCTCTGCTGAGTCCAGTGGCCCTGAGTGATGGCTAGGAGCACTGCAGCCCATTCCTGTGGGGGAAACGAAATTCTGCGCACACAACGTTAATTTCTGCAAAATTCTGCATTGCACAGTGGCGCAGAATTCCCCCAGGAGTAAACTCTGTTTGTTGTCCAGGGTGGCTTATACTGTATAGGAGTCATTAGGCCAAGGGTTGTAAAGGTATTTTATGATGCTGTGTTCAGTGTCGCAACACTTAACTGCTTTAGAGCCTAAAGCTCATTTTCAAAAGGGATTTGGGTACTTGGGAAAAAAAGAGAGAGATGTAGGCTCCCAAATCATTTCGGCATTGTGATGCTGAGCACAGGAACACCTAAATACCTTCAAAAATCTGGGCTTTAGTGCATTCATTCTAAATACTATCAGTGATTTAGTATTTAATATAATATAACTGATCACATATTTAATAATGACGTGTGCTTACATAGTACCTCTTTTCAAGGATCCCAAAGCACTTTCCAAATTGCTCAGTTTTAGTCCTACTGTAAGTGGAATTACATCCCTTCCATTTTAGGGCTGTATTTTGCCCACTAGGCTTTGAAACATCCCAGAGAAGTACATTAGATATGTATTGTTATAGCTATTTATTTGATACACAAGTAAACTGAAGAATGCAGAGGGGAAGTAACTTGCTCAAGACCACTTGACATCTTAATAGTAGAGTGGGGAGCAGAACACACAAACACTCCCTCCCAGTGCTTTATCGGGGTTTTCTTACCTGGGGAAGTGGCACTGGCAGGGCAGTGAACTGGAAGACTTCAGGAGTGACTGGCCATGGCACTGGGCCTGAGGACCGCCGAATGCCCCTTGAAGAGAAGAGACTTTGAAGGACTCTACCTTAGAAAGGGAAACCACTGAGTGACCTGGCCAGAGTCACAACGAGGCTGCAGCAGCTCCTGGAGTGAAAGAAAGGCTACAGACTGAGATAGCAAGATGGAGTACAACTGCAGGAAGAGCATCCGCCATGCAGAGCCAATCCCCCAGAACCGCCAGGAGGAGGCGCTGTCCAGCAATGAGTAGAACACCACATCAAATGCCCTTTTGTTAATGTTGAACAAAAGCCCACAGGTAAGTGGGGAACATGGAGACCGGGGAGATGGGTCGGAAACGAGAGGGAGCGTGGGCTATATTGTCAGAGAGAAAGGAGGGTCAGGACAAAACTGGGAGGAAAGATCAAACCAGTATCTTAGATGCCTATATACAAATGCGAGAAGTATGGGGAATAAACAGGAAGAACTGGAAGTGCTAATAAATAAATACAACTATGACAGTGTTGGCCTCCCTGAAACTTGACGTGACAATGTGCTTGATTGGAATCTCGG